ACTAGTAAGGCACCTGTTACTACTAGCGTGGCACTTGTTCCTAGTAGCCGAATCAGCCCCGCCTGCTGTTTGAGGTCAAAGCCCACCTCCCGAGTTGGGGATCTTCACGACTCGACCGCGATTGGAGACTCGGTCGGCGGACGGGAGCCCGGGGTCCATGGGGTCGGTCTCGCAGTTTGACCCATCCAGGTCTTTCGAGATAACAACGCAATGCCAAGCAAAGAAGAACTGACGAAAGAAACGACGCAGGTGGACGAGCTTGGAAGAGGCTATGGCAGAGGCTACCTTTCGTGAACAGAGCTCAGCTGAGCAGTTGAGGGCTATTGTCTCCGTTCCTGGGCACCAAAAAGAACAGCTCCGACCCTGGGCACCTTCTTCTTCTGCCGCGGATCTGGCTGAATGCCTCATGGAGTTGCCAGGGGATCCAAATGTTTTTTTTTGTTCTGACATGGACAAGTATGGCTGGAATTCCTCCAAATATTGGGTTTGATTGGGTCTTTCAACATGTTTGGGTTTTTTGTCAATAAACCGTTGATAACATGTGGGCTTCATAGCGGTACGGCTTTGTACGGTATTGTTTTTTGTCCATACGGCTAAATAAGCTAGCTCTTTAAGAAAAATGTCCATGCGAGAAATTCTGTCCAAATACGGCCTTCGCACGAAAAATAGATCATACGCCTTTCCAGGTGACTATAGGCATCTATAGGCCAATTGCTGTCACAGTCGAATGGCAGCACCCCAAGACCTATATATGATTATATAATATTCTATATGCATGTTATTGAATGTTAGTCACAACAACATGGTTTGTTCTGGAGTTTCTTTTCTGGTTGTGGATAAACATGTGGCCAAAGTGTGTCCCAAGTGGAATATAGGGCCAATATCGGCCAATGCAAGTCAACTCGCCGGAATGACAATCATGCGGTTGCTACAAATACCCAGCCTGCAGCAATTTGCCGCACCAAGGCATCAAATTCACCTCTGACATGCTTGGACGGCTCGAAGACTTCTCTCAACACCCCTAGGTCAACCATGGTCAACTCATCCCAGCTGCAACGATGCTTGTGGCGTTCTCAAACTTCGACACATCCCCAGGTCAACGTCGCTTTCACTCATCTTCGGATCGAAGATGTGTGATGGAGAAGCAAACCAACCCGAAGAGAATCGAAGCGGTGAGCTTGTCACCGGCAGAGCGGCCCTCCTTGGTGCGGGTGTCACCGGTGTCACCGCCTGACTTGCTGGCGGCATTGAGGTGCAACATCGCCAGATCCTGCTCGAAATTGCCACGCACCTGGTCGAAAGCGCAAAAGAAGCTCAAGTACAGTAGACACTAGTCACTAGTCGCTAGTCAAACAACTTCAGCTGTTCCGGTCAAATCGGCTTTATTGGCTTTACTGAAAGCTGTTGGTCAAAGCGAGGGTACCCACACAGTCTGGCCAAGACGACGTTCCATGATTCTGCGAGGTCCTCTACAGGGCCCCTGCCATCATCTCAGAGCGGAAGGGACACGCAGGCCCCACTGGCAGGACCTCGGCCAAACATGTGGGGAGCAGTTGAACTGGCAATGCTCCCGAACCGCGACTGAACAAAAGAGACTGGATTTGAAAGGATCCCGTTGTGAAGTATGCTACAGTACAGAATTCTTGCGACATGACATGAGGAAAGAATACAGAATCTAGCAACATTGAAGAAGAGCAATATGCTGTTCCTGGAGTCCCATACCATCAGGTTGCAACATGCCGCAACTAAAAATAGAGGAGACCGCCACCCAAGGGCTTCCCCCCAGGTTGCCTTCAACATCCGTCAACTCTGGTGTTGCTCAGAACCCTGATCTTATCAAACTATCCCACCGCACATCAAGCTTGAAGACAGGTGGAGACCATCGCTATTGGGAGCGATGGCCATCGCTGGTAGGAGCTTGAAGACCGGTTTCTCATCACCATCGGCTGTTCCGTCTCCAACCTCGAAAGGACAGGTTTCTCATCAGCTCGGGGGCGGGTTCCTGCTGTCCAAGAGAACTGGAACCCTCCAAGGTGTCTCCCGCCCATCATATGCCATCTGGGTCACATAATCAAACTGGTCCTCATCGGACTGGCATCTCTGAACTACTTCAGCTTCCACAGCCTCTCTCGATGTGGGATGGCCTGACCGAGCTGGGCCAGGTCTTGTTGTTCCGTTGTTCGATGGTGGGCCTGACCATGGAGTTGTGGCTCACTTCCCCCGAAGACCTTCAAAGACTTCACAATGTCCTTTCTAGACTAAAAAATGGACTGCTCAAGTTTGACCTACACCCTAGTTGTGAAAGGAATGAATATGCCGCATTTGATTGCCTTGGACTTCCCAACGTTCAAGATACTGTCTTCAGCACCGTCTTCAACAACTCCATGGGCGGCAACGTCTTGACTTCCTCTCAACTAGTTTACCATCACGATCTGCAAGAATCAATGGGCATCACGGATCATCACCTCACATGGCCATGGAAAATGGTTCAAATGATTGGGTCCACTCGATTAAGGGCCAATAGAATGATGTACCATTCCCAGGCAGTTTCTCCAAACACGAGAGTCAGCGCGTGCCTCTTCTTTGGAGACTTCTGCTCACAGTAAAACTTGGTGCTAAAATTCCAGCCTGAGACGAGAGAAGGGGCGACTTGCTGGACGGCAGCAAGTGAAAAGACCAATCTTCTCACTAACATATGTCATGTGTCATAGTCTATAGTCATATGACATCTGTGCTCCACCATACCACAATGTCTTTGTCTCCTGCCCAAAAGACTCATCTCGACCGGAAACCCAAAGAGATGCACTGGGCTGCGCCGGCCAAAGCACAAACCAGGACTCTCTTGGAAGAACAAACTGGGCGCCAGGGCCAAGTGATGAGGGCGCCAAAGAGATAGGAAGGGTGTTCAGCCCATGATGTGGCGGAAATCAACATCATTGAGGCCAAGCATACCCTAGATATGATCTCAGCAAACACAATAGAATAAAGCAAAACATAAACCATAATATATATATATATATATATATCTGTGTGTGTATGTGTAGATATATATATATAAGATATAAATATATGTGCAAGCGCCTGGGGGCTCTGAAATGTTCATGAGCCCAAAGATGTATGTTGCATCCATCTTGTTGCATCCTTCATGCAACGTAGTGATGGATTTGCGCTCGAACAAATTGATGTATTCGTTTCCTTCGTTGCTTGGAACCGCCTACACATCCCACACAACTGCAGACGCGACATCCAGCGACTCCTTCATCCACTCGGAAGGAGCGACTCGAATGGGTGGAAGATATCAGTCAAACTATCCAACAGTGGATTTCTTGGCTGGAAGACTTCGACCCCGGCCACGCAGGGTATCTGAAAAATACTAGGAGTTATCATGATCATTCATGGTCCACATGATTCAGCCCAATGGTTCTGCAGTTGCCCTCCCTGAGAATGCTTTCTTCACTAGCTTGCGGTCAGCCCAAACCTCCAGCTCACTTGGGCTTGCACTGCAGATCCGCCGCCTGCGTTCGCTTCGAACACACCGAGTCTCCGAGGCGAAGGAGTGGACTCCTTCGTCCCCAGACCATGTTCCCACCTTGTCTTCAGGCGAAGGTCCATGGCACCAAGAGAATTCCAGCTTGCTAGTGCAGTGTGGGGTCCTAACGATTGAATTAGAGAATTCATCTCATTAATAATTGTTCTCTATGTTACATGTTCTAATATTAAGATTGACTGTGCTTGACTTCAAAGGCTATCCAAGCAATTGCTGATCTGAACAAGTCTATCTCGTTCCTGAGCGCAACTGCAAGTGAGTCGCTCAGGGCAGTGGATTGATTGGTGGGGTGTTGAAAACCATCCGCCCATCCGAGACGATCATCACTCTTGAACGGGGGGCGTCGCCATGCGGTATGGTGTCTTGCCAGCCTGGTCTTGAGTGGGAAAGGCTCGGAAAGGCTCCGAAAATCCAAGGGACCAGGCCGTCTCCCATTGTGCGACACACGCGACGGGCAGCTCGTCTCCCATCTGCCAGCTGCTACGGGCAGCTCGTCAAGACTTGTGCCCCTGAGAATTCGGTCTGTGGAGATTCTCCAGAAGCATTCGGTCTCTTTTTCTCCTCACCCGGCATTCTTTCCTCCATCCATCTGGTGCACCCGCATCACTTCTCGCCTCAGATCCATCTGGTAGCTCCGACAGATCCGGGGCAGTCGAAAGCCCTATGGTTCCAACATGTTCACAATCAAAACCATTTGATGAATTTGATGAAGAGCCCAAGCCCAAATAAGGCTTATGAAAATCTTTAGCTGCTACGTGTTGGAAACTGCAAAAATATTTCATTTTCATTTGGTTATCATTTCATGTTAATTTAATTATCATTTTATTATCATTTTGGAACTTCATTTTTTTTTCGTTTTTTTATCGTTTTTTTTATCATTTGTGTATAATGTGGTGTTGAGCTTACATTTAGGATTGAACTAGTTATTCTTCCAATGGGATTCGTGTTGCTTTTGCTGTTTGGTCAGTGAGGTCTGTGTTTGTATAATAAAGCTATATGTATATATACAATTGAATTTGCTGTGCTTGCTATGCTCATTGAATGCATCTGACAATTGCATGCTTCTTCAGCTGTGAGGAGGTTTGTGAGGCTTTTTTTGGAGTGTGAGGAGTAGTCCGAAGTCACATAACTACTACTGGCAGTAACTGCAACTACTAGTTACTACTGACTACTTACTACCACCACTACCAGGTACCACTTACCAGACCATACAGCTGTGTATGGTTCTGCTGGTTGACAAATATGTGTGTGTGTGTGTCAATTATAGATAGATATATATATATATTAATCGTTGAACATCAATGATTCCACAGGATGCATCTCCTACTTAGCTGCCGTTGATTAATCGTTTATTTAATAAGCCAATTGATTTTTGCTGTTTAGCTTAGCGTCTATCTGCTATCTTCAAAAGGTCGTGTGCCACACCTGGAGGTGGAGTCCGGCCTTTGCCAACTAGCCCACTCTTTCCGCTTCGTCAATGTGAGTTCAAAGCCCATATCATGACAAGAAAACAAGGCAAACACGCAACTCCTTTTCACAGCCGCGAAAAAGTGCAAAAACTGCCTTTCACAACTGGCCGTTTCATCTTGAGGAAACAGGGTATCCCAGGGAGTCTCCGAAATTTTGAGACGCGCCCATCCCTTGAAGAAGGCAAATGGCCACAGATCCTCCTCCTGCTGCCGCATGACTTCCTCAAGCACCTGGCCGGGTGATAATTGTTTGAGCCACAGCCATTGGACCGCCGGATGTCATTGTTTCACGAAAGGTGAAGCTACAAAGCAACTCACCTAGCTTGGGGTGCTGCATGCTGCTGTTGCCTGCTCACCTAGCTTGGTGTTGCAAAAAAAAAAGGAAACATGAGCCGTCTGCAAATCCACAAGTCGCGTTCCAATTATTGATACATACACCCACGAGTTTGATCATCCTTTTGGTGGGCGCCGGTGCCACCACAAATTAAGAAACTTACTGCAGTTCCTGAAACTATCTTCGATTGTCTTGTTGGGGGGCAAAGAGCAAGGGCGCAGATTGTCCAACGGTGGCACAGCCCTAATTTGCAGTCCTAAAAAAGCCTCTCAGGATGAACGCTTCCAGTTTCCAGAGATGTCGAACTCTACCCTGGAGCAAAAGCAAATCGGAACAAGCAGCAGCGCCGCGACAAACATTATCAGATCCCCCAGATGTGCCTCTTCATGAGACTTGTCCGTCAACGCGGGTGCGAGGTCCTAGCGATCAACCAGGTAACCACCTCAGAATGACTTGATAAATCATCCTGGCACTGGTTTTAAACACCAAAAACTCCAGCTGAATTCCATGCCGATTCAGCTGCTTCTTCGAGTTTGTGGGCTTTTCCCTCCCTGTGCAGCTAGGTCCTGCGCAATGCCTGTCAGCTCATCAAAGTTAAGCGCCTGGAGGAATAAACACAGTCACAGTGGCTAGACAGAACTATTTCAGCCTCAATGTCCAAACTTGGGCCTCGCGGATGTCAGCCTTCCATAGACTTCGTATGACTTCGTAACCAGACAGAACGTCCGACAGTAATGTCCGACAGACGGAACGTCCGACAGTATTGGCTGAAAGGATCCACGATCCACTTCCTGTCAAACGACTCACCCCGGCCATCGACATGTCGAATGGCCTCATCTCACCCTGGCCTTGAGGCTGGCACTTCTGAGGACCTTTCGTTGGCTTCGACGCTCCACCTGGTCAGGCGGTCGAAAGAGTTGGGCAGAAGCGGTCTGGTCCGAACATGAGACTACCACAACCTGTAACCTCTCAAGTTACTAATATTCATTGTATAGGATTAATCAAGAATACTCAAGAAATCCTCCACCTCTGGATCGCCGGGTGTGGCTGGCGCTGCTGCCCTGCGAAGCAGGTGGACCAGCTGCGCCTGCCCAAGCAGAACATCATCTGGAAGCCATTGCTGGCTTGCAAAAATTCTACAAAGACATTCTCAATGTTCTGACCTCTTGAACACCCTGTCCTAAGTATGTCCAAGTCCGAGTAGAAAAGTATGGACTCGAGATTTCATGGGATCTTGCATTTGAGAAAAAAGAAGACCCGGACACATGGTCGCCTTGGGGATCTCGCCGTCCACTCGTCCCAACAGTCGCCTCAAGGCTCGGGCTCGGTTACGGACAGCCTGGATTCTGTTGGTCAAAAGACTGCCCCCCTTAACCCTTTGGATGTGACTCAAAAGAAAGCCAGGGACCCCAAGTAGTTTGTGCTCTTGTGCCTCCTTGACAGTCCTGGACTTTCTTCTGCCGATTTGTTTTCTGTGCTGCTTTGGAGCCATCCCCACATATTGCAACTGAGCATCCATCGGTTTTCCGCGGCGTGCTCTGCACAGAACCACTCCTCCAGCTTTCACCAAGCAATTAGGGAAGAGCTGCTCTAACTTTTAAGTTCACAGGTCGTTGCATTCCTCTCAAATCCAGAGCTTCCAAAGTGTTGATTTTCCGGACAAGTCTACAATTGCAGTCAGACCATGAGTTTGGGCTTGGGTTGGCTGAGCTCGAGGTTTCCTCACCGCATCGTCTCATCAAGTCTCATGAAATCCCGCCGGCGTGCGGCGATCTCATCGTCCCCACGCGGAGACGGAGGTCTCATCTCCTGCAACCTCTTCCTGGTGCATTGCCCCACCTTCGTGCCATGCCTCGTTACGGACTGAAGAGGACACCCTTGCAAGAAGGTCAAGGACACCCTGGCAGCGCATTCGCAATTCCTAAAGCATGTTGATGGGATGCAGGTGCTGTCGTGTAGCTTTATTTTTATGTGTTTTGTGTTGATCATTCCCAGCAACAAGTGGTTCCTCAGGGTAAGTGCGGAGTTTCAGGTAGCAACTTGAGGGCTCCCAGACTGCAGTGGTCAGAAAGTCCAAGCCTGCTCACGGCTCTCTGCCAGAACCCTTACTGTATGCAAGATAGAAGTTAAGTCACACAGTCTCTGGAAGTTTGGGACGCGTATCGTTTCAGCACCTTCGAGACACATCTTGCTAAGGCACAGGCTGAACCCGCGCATAGCAGCAGCTATCATCGATGGCCTCAAGACCCAGAACCGTAAAGAAACAATGAGAAACAATATATAATATATACACGGGTAGAGTAGATGGCACAAACCCCAAAAGGTGGTTTGTATGGACCCCTACATAAAAGACATCTTGGGGTTGTGCCATCTACTCCGAAACCACTATATATAACCTGCCACCATCTGTCCTCTACCTGGGCACTCTGCCACTTTCTGTGTCTTCTTAATGAGGGGGCATCTAGAGCAGTCTGTCAGCTCACAAGGGTGGTGCGTATGCAGTCTCCACTGGTGGACACCAAACAGAATCGTTGAAGAAACAGACTTTGTCCCGCGTCTATTGATGTCATTTCACATCTCTTTGGAACTATCCAGGACATTACAGGACAGAAGAATACTGCCAAGCTTGAGACGACATCTAACTACGCAAATCGACCCCTGTTTGCTTTCTGGCCCCTCCTCTGCCACTGGAGAGAAACGCGAAGACAAGGCTTGTCCCTGGACTCAGCTGAAGACGGAGAGACAAATGGTTGCATCATGTTGTATCCAGCCGGTTCACAGGTTTCAAGAAAGAATTGGGCATACCGTATATATTTTAAAAGCCAATTCCAAGGAGCACCCTCTTCTTTAGGTGTGTCATTCAAAAGTAAGATTTGCTTCTTCTTTGCTTTCCAAAGGGCACCCTGAGACGACGTGCATGCTGGGGAGTTCTCTTCATGCCGCCAGCGAATGGATTGTGACTGACAACAACTCTGCAAGGTCAGGTAAGTGACTGAATAGCTGCTACTTGTGGAGCCCCGTACACAGTTGGAGAAGATCCATCACTGATACTTTCCAACAAGAAGATGAACGGGGTGGGTCGGAGATCAGTCCTGTTGCACCTGTCATCTCACCCTGGCCTTATGTGGGCGTCGTGGGCCCGGCACGGTCACCACCTGGTGCTTGGGGATGAGAATCTCGGATGTCCACACATCTGGTGAACAACGGTCGCCAGGCTACAAAGTCTGAGACCTTTCCTTGCATTTGCCCAGCCATCATATCCTTTTCAATCCGATGTGGCCTCCTGGCAATCATCGATTTCCTCCACATCATTGTCAGCTTGTCGCTTCAACCCCATGGCTTTCACTGGGGCAGGCTGGATTCACAGGCTTTGGACTGCCTACGATTGTTTTGGGCTTAGAGCGCAAACGATCCATGCATTAGGCGCTTCCTCTCAAGAGATTCTCTTAAAGTCATGATCTTTACATCTCTTTACCTTGGCAGCGAGCCTGTGTCAAGGAAACATTGATTTTTCTCCAAAGCAGTTGGGGAGGTGAATTCCTGCACCAGTCTGTCTGATGGTACAAAACCTGCTGGTCAATAATCCCCCCCGTGGAAGTTGAGTCCAACTGGTCCTTGCGAGTCATAATCCAATCCATCGAACTTGCTCTGATGTTGCTTGCCTTTGATTACAAGGAAAAAGAGGGTGCCACTGTTTGAAAAGCAAGGCTCTAAAAATCCACGAAACATGCGTCCTCCTTCTATTTGCCCTATGGCCCTAGTCACATCTGTCGTCTTCCCATCGAAAAATAGTCTTCGCGCGATGAGCCCTTTTTCGCCCTTTTCGCCGCGCTCCGAGCGGAGCGCCGATCGGTGACCGAGTCATTCCTCGAGGCGCTTTGGGGTCCAGGGCTCTAAGTCCTCGTACTTTGTACATTCGAAGCGAAGACGCTCCAGGACGGCCGCATCCAGAGGAGGTGATCGTTTGCTTTCAAGCATCCTCGATTGGTGAGATTGGCCAAAAGTATTGCACCGGTTCTTTTGATAACTGAGACCAAGAAAAGCAGAACCATGCAGAACCAACGTTTCAAGAAGGGTTGTCCAGTGTCCCTGCGAAAAAAAAAAAAAACACTGGATTACGGGAAAGGGACGCCTTTAAAGTCATGCATGTGGCTCCAAGCATCCTCTGCACTTCTGCCAGGTGCTTCCTCCGGCTTCGCCGTGTCTCCAGGAATTCCATGGCCACATGCTGCTTTCGTGCAGCACCCACCGGATTGGCGGGGCGCACCTCGCCCGGGCGGTCCACGTACTCCAGGATGGCCATGGGAGTGGTGTCCCTCTGACGATAAGTGAAGAGGTTCACCACCTAGCACCGGTGGCAAATCGGAAGGGCACTTCATCAAGGTGGCATGGATGGGGCATGGATGGGGCATGGTCAAGGCGGTGAGGGAGACCCGTCCGGAGCCGAAAAAGGAAAGACAGCAGGTCCGGTAGGTGAATGGTGGGCAGCAAGAAGAGATAGACGTGTCACTTGTGGTGCCAATCCGTAGCAGACACAGAAGAAAGGTCTGCTTGCGACTTGCGAGCTGGAGGGAAGTTGGGATTGAGGAATTCGTCGTAACTGGCTTAAGGTGCTGGTGGCTGGATAAGGGACGGGTCATGCTCAGCAACGGGATTTATATATATAGGAGGAAAACCATTAGATCATCTATCCAAATTATCTTGCACTCTTCTTGGCCATTTACGTATCATGCAATCACCTGGAATATGTTTCTTGTTGTTTCATGTTGTTTCTATGATTGAAGCCTCACTCATTTACGACAGGGGCAATCTGGGTATTATATGCTGCTCGAATGATAAGATGAGACCTTAACAACAGGTAACAACAAAATTTTCTTATCTGCTTATATACTCTGTTCATCTCTGTTCATCCATCTTCCCTTCTTACTGGTACTGGTGGTCGTTCAGGAGTATGCCATGACTTCTCATCGATGGAGAGTAGAAGGTGTGTTGTTTGTTTTTTCATGTTTTTTCTCCGTTTCAGCTCGAGAAGAGAAGTTCTCATCAAATAGTGCTCCAGGCCACGCGGGAGACATGGAAGTGGCGGTCCTGGAAAAAAAAAATATTTTTCTCGTGGAAATCAGGCTTCAGACACCCCAAAGGCTTCAGACAAAGAAAAAAACTGGAAACCGATCAATCAATCTGACAACTGATCAAGCATGATCAAGCGATATCATCATTGGCTTCCACTTTCTCTCGTTTAAGTCCTTGTACCTGGGCAGCATTCGCTCATACAGAATCCGGCGCGCTTCGGGAGAAGTCAACATGCTCTCCACGAGGCCATCATGGTAGGGTGAATTCTTCTTCGCTAAAAAGACGATCTCCTCCGCGTATTGCTGCAGCTCTTTCGCTCTGGGCAGGGAGGTCTCGAGACGCTGGTTCAGGATGAGAAGATTCAGCATATCCTTCACCCACTTCCTTAGGGATGGAAGCAAAACGAGTATGATCCTCCGAATCAAATCTGAAATCTCATGACCTTAGAACTGCATTCCCACTAGTAAGATCTAGTAATTACGAACAAACCAAAAATACTCTCAACAAACTACGAACAAACAAACAAAAAACTCAACAAATCAGAGGCTTCCATTGCTGATGGGATGGCCCAAAGACTTTGTGGTAGATCCGCTTCCCTTTGGAACGCGCGCCTTTGGCGATTCGATTGGTTTCAGCGATCCAGCCCATCTTCGATCACTTGAGCCAAGACGGGTTCTAGACTTGAGGATTCGTCGACTTCGAACGGGGCAGTAGCAAGAAAATACTAGGGCATCGCTACTAGTAGCAAGAAGCTAGTAGGGGATGCTCTTGTTACTAGATAAAGCCAGGTGACACGATCAGGCGCAGCAAACCGTCGCCACTGAAAATCTCTCCCGGTGTGAACACTCGGTCGTTGGTGAAGAAATGGTGCTGGGACAACGGTGCTGGGTCACGTATGAAAATGGACGTTCTGACCTGGGGGGGCCTTTCTGAGAGGTCAGATCATGTCAGATCTTTTAGAACTAGGAACAAGAACGCTACTAGGGGCTCCTGGCATCGCTACTAGGAGCAAGGATGCTACTAGGGGCTCCTGGCCATAGTACTAGGAACAAGAACGCTACTAGTAACAAGAAATAAATAGAATTAGAAGTCTTGAGAGTCTTGGTGAAAGCCGACCCGTCTTGAGAGTCGATCGTGCCGCTTTTTGAACTGCGAGCTGCGCACAACAGATTCGTCGGCCGACTGCGCAGAGATTCGTTCGGCAAACAACGGTGCATCACACACTGAAGATGCCAAAATGGAAGGCGAGTGTGAGCCATGGACTAAGCTCCAACCAGATCAACAAAATGGAAGCTGGAATGTCTTAGTGAGTAAAATGTTCCGAGAAAACCCGGAGTTTCGCTCATCAATGGCTTAGGCCAAGGCTGGTGTATTATGAACCAACTTGGTCGTGATGGGAGTGGTTCGGGCCATCACGCTGACACGCGGCGCAGGTCTCAGGTTTGGTAACCTGCGGCTGTGGAGTGCTTCATCCGACCAACGGTTGGCACTTCATTCGACCAACGGTTAGCTCGTTGCGCCATGTAACACCAAGGCTTGGGACCTTCGTTCCAACCTGATGGATGTGTACTGACTGGAGAAGGTCGGGCGATGAGATGGTCGTGCTTTCGCGGCGACCTGATGGATGCTTTCTCTTCATCTTCACTCCACAATTCACCCGAACATCTGCAAAGTAACACAAAATACTCGTGTAACATGTATACAACTTCAGGCAGGTGCTGCTGCCAAAACTCTAGGTCTTTTTTTGTGAAGCAACAAAATAAGTAATGTGTTTACACTGTCAAACCATGTTAATCACATCCAGAATGTGCTTCCGCTGTGGTGACTTCGACACCAGGCACCATGTGTAGGCCGACAGCCAACCACGGGTGCCAAGGGACGCCCTTCAACCGCGATTGGCCGATCCAACAAGACCCGATTGAAACCTGCACTGCGGCCCGACACGAACGACCATGCCAACAGCAAGGGGCGGGGGAAGCGGCCGCCGTCTCGCGCTTGGAAAGGCCCCATCCAAGACCGAACGACCATCGTTGAGGAACGCACAACGACCATCATTAGGTTCCCAAAAGCATCTCTCTCTGACCTCACAGGGTCGCCGCAGAACTCTCCTGGCTCAAATCCTGACTAGGTAAGGACAGGCGACTGGGAGCATCTGGGAGCCAAGAGTCAGGAGCTTCAAGGGGAGGTTGAGTGGCATGGTACTGCTCTGGATCCATCCAACGGCATCCCACGACACACGGAGTACCATCCGCCTACCATGCCAGACGTCTCGGCTGAGGGCCACCTGCAAACTCGACCACTGGAGTGTCAAAGCTCTCAAAATGCTTGAAATGACTGGAGGTTGGTGGGGAGCATCTGAGATCTTACATGATAGCTGGTATCTAGTGGTACATCTCAACTAACTAAATAAGTAAACAATACCTTTTGCAATTAGTGTGAAACACAAAACTAGTAGTAAACCACCTCTTTAGGAAAATTGTGGTTTGAATTGAAGGTCCATTCTGGACTGCACGAAGACTAAAGACAGAATGGGCTGCATGCATTTCCACCTCCAAATTCCCAAAGATTGTTCCACCCCTAGATGCTCGTGGTGGATCCCTTTTGGAAGTTCCTTTCCCTGGATCGCTGTTGGGTCGCGGCGTTTCCGTCTTCCGTCTTCCGCCTCAAAGGCTCCCTCATCCGCACGGAGGAGCCGATCGAGCGATCGGGGCGGTCCTCCTGCGATCGGCGAGGCGGGGTGGTCGTCGGAACGGTCGTCGCTGAAGGAACCGCCTAGTACACGCGTGGATGGAAGCGGAAAGCCCCTGTTGCCATTGTTCGTAAAGGATTAATGGTTATATGCAAAGGTCCATGTGCCACTTCCATGTTGGTGAGTTGGAGGATGTTCACAGGCAGTGATCTGTTCCAAGCGAGGCGATGCCAAGTGAGCCTCTTCAGGGAGGAGGCCATGGCCCCATCTTGGCAAAGAATAAAACAAGTGCAATGGCGACTGTTCCGAGGCAGCCGATCAAACGATCCTGAGCCATCAGCAGCTCCAAAAGCCTAGGTAGGCTTTGATGGTTGGATGATGTGGGTCTTTGGGTAGGACAAAGAACTGGGTGAAGAAGACTCTAAGGAAAGTGTCTTGACATGGCCGGTTGAGTGCTATTCTATTCTATAGATACCATGTATTGGATACTATGTATTGGATATTATGAGTCATTTGGTCTATAACCTCCCAGACAAAGGATAAACATGGTTAAAGCATATTAAAGCCGCCAGCCGGGCAAAGGTGTGTTCATCCACTTTACCCACCTCTGCATATCATCTACTGGATGCTGTAAATGGGGGATGGTCAGAATGAAGGTTTTTCATGTTTTTGCCATATCCAGGACATGCTCAACCGTAGCCATGTTCCTCCCCCAACTACTTCATAAGCTACCGATGATCTCGCAAAGTGTGCCAATCAAATCCTGTTGCTCTGCGTCTTGGCGCCTGTAGTCTTGGCTCGCGCTCTCTTCCGAGTCTTTCGCCTGGGACGACGATTGCGTCCGGTGACGAGCGTGGTCGTTCACGAAACATCCGAAGCTTCAGAAAGACCTCTGCTGTGCCATCCTGAACACCCTGCTTTGTCAGATATTTATATATATATATATATCGTAAATGATGTGTTCTTGGCAGTGCTTGATCCTGTCCTCGTCCTACTTCTTGAAAACTTGATGAATGCCCCGTGCATTTGACCTACACCCCAGTGATCGCATCCAGATTCCAACATCAAAGGCAGCTTCACAGTGGAGGCAGCATCTCCCCCTCTGAAAGCACACCGTTCTAGAAACCGAATTGTCTAGTCTAGGATTGGGAAACAACATCTCCCGCTACGGTACCAGTATGCACAACAGCCCCATTGTTTGCCGGTGCAAAATACAGGGGACAGATGGGACAGCATGTATTGGATTGCTGGCAAAAGATTGCTCTCTCAAATGCTCAACATGCTTGAAGTTGTTCTAATGATGCCATCTTTTCGCATCAGTCTGGATGATGAGCAAAAGCAACATAGTTGTCATGGAGATTCAAAGACCCTTTGGTTGCAGGTAGAGCTGGAGCCCAGTGACTAACAAAGAAGGCCACCCTTTGACCAAAAGACCATCTCACCTGCTCACCTGCTCACCTCGCGTCAAAACAAATGGGAACCTAGCATCCCTCCAGTGGAAAAACCTCCGGTGGTTTCTTTGAAAAGCGTCCGGTGGTTTCTTGGACCTAGCATCCCTTGCCATGTGTCGAGAGAAGTGCGTGTACATTTGGCTGAAAATGATGAAACATCATTAAAGGCTACGGCCAACTGATGCCTGCTTCACACCATACCCAGCACGATTCACAAGCACCTGCGGAAAGGCTCTGCTTTTCCTGGCATGAAGCTCGGGGGGGAGGGCCATGTGGGGTGGCAAATCCCATCCTGAAATGCCTCTGGAGCCCAAAATCCACATCACCATCTTTGCTGAAGAAATGTGTACGGCTGCACCCAGAAACCCAATGAAACCCACACGTTGAAAAAGTCCAAGTTGTCCTTTCTCCTCGTTGCTTCGTTATCTTGAGAAAGTATATATTTGTTTCCACTTCCAATCAATGCCAAGCTTGGTTTGGGCATGGTTGGGCCTCTGGTCATTATCTCAGGTTGATTCTCTTCCCATCCTAAAGTGCTTTTGAGGAGACGGACCTCTTGAAGCTCTGAAGCTCTGCTCATTGCGGAATTCAGCGCCACAGATTGGCGCAAGTGGCGTGAGTGACTTTGCTGCGAGTTGCGAATCAGTTTTGATACCATGTCACGTCATCCCATTCAAAAAGCAGAAGACATGTGTCAAGAAAGCATGCCAACATAATCCAACATGTCGTCTATCACGACCACGACCACGACCACCACCACCACCACCGCCACCACCACCACCACCACCACCACCTCCACCTCCACCTCCACCTCCACCGCGACTGCGACTGCGACTGCGACTGCGACTCCTACTACTACTACTACTACTACTACTACTACTACTACTACTACTACT